CAGGAAGAGCAGCAGCAACAGCAGCAGCAGCAGCTGCTGCTGCTGCAGCTGCAGCTGCAGCAGATGACGGATTTTGTTTTGATTTTGCGCTGAGGCCTCTAGATAGATGAATATAATAAATAAAATAAAATAAAATAAAATAAAATAAAATAAATAAATAAAATAAATAAATAAATAAATAGAAAGGGAGAGAGGGAAATATAGAGAGAGACAGAGAAACAGACAGATAGAGAAGGAGACAAATAAATAAAAAGAGACAGAAAGGAGACAAATAAAAAATAAAAAAATAAATAAAAAAGGAGACAGATAAATAAATAAAAGAGAGACAGAGAAAGAGACAAAAATAAATAAATAAATAAAATAGAGAGAGACAGTAAGAAAGAAAAATAAATAAAATAAATAAATAATACAAAAAAATAAAAAGGAGACAGAAAAGGAGACAGATAGAAAAGGAGACAAATAAAATAAAACAGCAACAAATGCATAAACGATAAAAATATAAAAATAAAATAAAAATAAAATAAAATAAAATAAATAAAATAAATAAAATAAAATAAAAATAAGATAAAATAAAAATAAAATAAATACTAATAAATAAAAACTAGTAACGGCAACGGCAACAAACAACAATAAACAAACAAAAACAAAAACAAAACAAATAAAAACAAAAAAAATAAAAACAAATAAACAAAAACAAAAACAAATAAACAAAAACAAAAACAAATAAACAAAAAGAAAAACAGGTAGAGGAATAGAAAGAGAAGCAACGAGCAAATATAAAAACAAAAAACAACAAAAAAAGAAAAAAAAAGAAAAAAAAAGAAAAAAAAAGAAAAAAAAATAGTATAGGCAATAAACAACAAATACACAAAGACACACTGCAGCAACAGCAGCAGCAGCAAGAGCAGCAACAGCAGCGGCAGCAACAGCAGCAGCAGACAGCAGCAGCAGGCAGTAGCAGCAACAGCAGCAGCAGCAAGAGCAGCAGCAGCAGACAGCAGCAGGCAGCAGCAACAAACAGCAGCAGCAGCAAGCAGCAGCAGCAGAGAGCAGCAGCAGCAGCAGGCAGCAGCAACAAAAATCTATAAAAGTAAAGACAAAGAAATATATAAATAAAATAAACAGCAGCAAAAGAGACAAATAACAACAACCCCACCGCAGCAACAATAAACAAAAACTCTCATTCATACAAAAAATATTAAAAAAAATATAAAACATAATTCATATAGAACACCACCAGCAGCAGCAGCAGCAGCAGCAGCAGCAGCAGCAGCAGCTGCTGCTGCTGCTGCTGGTACTTCTCTGTGGCTGCAGCAGTTTGTTTTTGTTGTATTTAATACTTTTATTATTTAATTAAATTTATTTTTTATTTATTTAATTAATTAAATAAAAATAAATAAATTTTTTGTTTTTCTTTTTCTTTAATAGGTGTATAGAGTTGGGGTGTATAGGCAGCTCAACATACACTGATTTTTTTTTTTTTTTTTTTTTTTTTTTTTTTTTTTTTTTTTTTTTTTTTTTTTTTTTTTTTT